ACCTGTAGTTCCACTCTACTCTCGTTAATAAGGCAGTCTTGGTGCCTGCTTCGATTATCCGAAAAATATGGTTTCAGATCAATTTTAGAATGGTTTTATGAGCAATACAATATGGCGACTTACATCAAACAAACTTTATAGCGTGGATGCGTCTGGATTAAAAAACCATTCACTCACGCTGACGGGAAGCCTTCTCTCTGAAGACCCCACCTGTAGTTCCACTCTACTCTCGTTAATAAGGCAGTCTTGGTGCCTGCTTCGATCATCCGAAAAATATGGTTTCAGATCAATTTTAGAATGGTTTTATGAGCAATACAATATGGCGACTTACATCAGACAAACTTTATAGCGTGGATGCGTCTGGATTGAAAAACCGTTCACACACGCTCACCGGAAGCCCTCTCTCTGAAGACCCCACCCGTAGTTCCACTCTTATCTCGTTAATAAGGCAGTCTTGGTGCCTGCTTCGATCATCCGAAAAATATGGTTTCAGATCAATTTTAGAATGGTTTTATGAGCAATACAATATGGCGACTTACATGAAACAAACTTTATAGCGTGGATGCGTCTGGATTGAAAAACCGTTCACTCACGCTCACGGGGAGCCTTCTCTCTGAAGACCCCACCTGTAGTTCCACTCTACTCTCGTTAATAAGGCAGTCTTGGTGCCTGCTTCGATCATCCGAAAATAATGGTTTCAGATCAATTTTAGAATGGTTTTATGAGCAATACAATATGGCGACTTAGATCAAACAAACTTTATAGCGTGGATGCGTCTGGATTGAAAAACCGTTCACTCACGCTCACGGGGAGACTTCTCTGAAGACCCCACCTGTAGTTCCACTCTACTCTCGTTAATAAGGCAGTCTTGGTGCCTGCTTCGATCATCCGAAAAATATGGTTTCAGATCAATTTTAGAATGGCTTTATGAGCAATACAATATGGCGACTTACATCAAACAAACTTTATAGCGTGGATGCGTCTGGATTGAAAAACCGTTCACACACGCTCACGGGAAGCCCGCTCTCTGAAGACCCCCCCTGTAGTTCCACTCTACTCTCGTTAATAAGGCAGTCTTGGTGCCTGCCTCGATCATCCGAAAAGAATGGTTTCAGATCAATTTTAGAATGGTTTTATTAACAATACAATATGGCGACTTACATCAAACAAACTTTATAGCGTGGATGCGTCTGGATTGAAAAACCGTTCACACACACTCACGGGGAGACTTCTCTCTGAAGACCCCACCTGTAGTTCCACTCTACTCTCGTTAATAAGGCAGTCTTGGTGCCTGCTTCGATCATCCGAAAAATATGGTTTCAGATCAATTTTAGAATGGTTTTATGAGCAATACAATATGGCGACTTACATCAAACAAACTTTATAGCGTGGATGCGTCTGGATTGAAAAACCGTTCACACACGCTCACGGGAAGCCCTCTCTCTGAAGACCCCCCTGTAGTTCCACTCTACTCTCGTTAATAAGGCAGTCTTGGTGCCTGCCTCGATCATCCGAAAAGAATGGTTTCAGATCAATTTTAGAATGGTTTTATGAACAATACAATATGGCGACTTACATCAAACAAACTTTATAGCGTGGATGCGTCTGGATTGAAAAACCGTTCACACACGCTCACGGGAAGCCCTCTCTCTGAAGACCCCACCTGTAGTTCCAATCTACTCTCGTTAATAAGGCAGTCTTGGTGCCTGCTTCGATCATCCGAAAATAATGGTTTCAGATCAATTTTAGAATGGTTTTATGAGCAATACAATATGGCGACTTACATCAAACAAACTTTATAGCGTGGATGCGTCTGGATTGAAAAACCGTTCACACACGCTCACGGGGAGACTTCTCTCTGAAGACCCCACCTGTAGTTCCACTCTACTCTCGTTAATAAGGCAGTCTTGGTGCCTGCTTCGATCATCCGAAAAATATGGTTTCAGATCAATTTTAGAATGGTTTTATGAGCAATACAATATGGCGACTTACATCAAACAAACTTTATAGCGTGGATGTGTCTGGATTGAAAAACCGTTCACACACGCTCACGGGAAGCCCTCTCTCTGAAGACCCCCCCTGTAGTTCCACTCTACTCTCGTTAATAAGGCAGTCTTGGTGCCTGCTTCGATCATCCGAAAATAATGGTTTCAGATCAATTTTAGAATGGTTTTATGAACAATACAATATGGCGACTTACATCAAACAAACTTTATAGCGTGGATGCGTCTGGATTGAAAAACCGTTCACACACGCTCACGGGAAGCCCTCTCTCTGAAGACCCCACCTGTAGTTCCACTCTACTCTCGTTAATAAGGCAGTCTTGGTGCCTGCTTCGATCATCCGAAAATAATGGTTTCAGATCAATTTTAGAATGGTTTTATGAGCAATACAATATGGCGACTTACATCAAACAAACTTTATAGCGTGGATGCGTCTGGATTGAAAAACCGTTCACACACGCTCACGGGAAGCCCTCTCTCTGAAGACCCCCCCTGTAGTTCCACTCTACTCTCGTTAATAAGGCAGTCTTGGTGCCTGCTTCGATCATCCGAAAAGAATGGTTTCAGATCAATTTTAGAATGGTTTTATGAACAATACAATATGGCGACTTACATCAAACAAACTTTATAGCGTGGATGCGTCTGGATTGAAAAACCGTTCACACACGCTCACGGGAAGCCCTCTCTCTGAAGACCCCACCTGTAGTTCCACTCTACTCCCGTTAATAAGGCAGTCTTGGTGCCTGCTTCGATCATCCGAAAATAATGGTTTCAGATCAATTTTAGAATGGTTTTATGAACCATACAATATGGCGACTTACATCAAACAAACTTTATAGCGTGGATGCGTCTGGATTGAAAAACCGTTCACACACGCTCACGGGGAGACTTCTCTCTGAAGACCCCACCTGTAGTTCCACTCTACTCTCGTTAATAAGGCAGTCTTGGTGCCTGCTTCGATCATCCGAAAAATATGGTTTCAGATCAATTTTAGAATGGTTTTATGAGCAATACAATATGGCGACTTACATCAAACAAACTTTATAGCGTGGATGCGTCTGGATTGAAAAACCATTCACTCGCGCTCACGGGGAGCCTTCTCTTTGAAGACCCCACCTGTAGTTCCACTCTACTCTCGTTAATAAGGCAGTCTTGGTGCCTGCTTCGATCATCCGAAAAATATGGTTTCAGATCAATTTTAGAATGGTTTTATGAGCAATACAATATGGCGACTTACATCAAACAAACTTTATAGCGTGGATGCGTCTGGATTGAAAAACCGTTCACTCGCGCTCACGGGGAGCCTTCTCTCTGAAGACCCCACCTGTAGTTCCACTCTACTCTCGTTAATAAGGCAGTCTTGGTGCCTGCTTCGATCATCCGAAAAATATGGTTTCAGATCAATTTTAGAATGGTTTTATGAGCAATACAATATGGCGACTTACATCAAACAAACTTTATAGCGTGGATGCGTCTGGATTGAAAAACCCTTCACTCGCGCTCACGGGGAGCCTTCTCTCTGAAGACCCCACCGGTAGTTCCACTCTACTCTCGTTAATAAGGCAGTCTTGGTGCCTGCTTCGATCATCCGAAAAATATGGTTTCAGAACAATTTTACAATGGTTTTATGAGCAATACAATATGGCGACTTACATCAAACAAACTTTATAGCGTGGATGCGTCTGGATTGAAAAACCATTCACTCGCGCTCACGGGGAGCCTTCTCTCTGAAGACCCCACCTGTAGTTCCACTCTACTCTCGTTAATAAGGCAGTCTTGGTGCCTGCTTCGATCATCCGAAAAATATGGTTTCAGATCAATTTTAGAATGGTTTTATGAGCAATACAATATGGCGACTTACATCAAACAAACTTTATAGCGTGGATGCGTCTGGATTGAAAAACCGTTCACTCGCGCTCACGGGGAGCCTTCTCTCTGAAGACCCCACCTGTAGTTCCACTCTACTCTCGTTAATAAGGCAGTCTTGGTGCCTGCTTCGATCAACCGAAAATAATGGTTTCAGATCAATTTTAGAATGGTTTTATGAGCAATACAATATGGCGACTTACATCAAACAAACTTTAGAGCGTGGATGCGTCTGGATGGAAAAACCATTCACTCGCGCTCACGGGGAGCCTTCTCTCTGAAGACCCCACCTGTAGTTCCACTCTACTCTCGTTAATAAGGCAGTCTTGGTGCCTGCTTCGATCATCCGAAAATAATGGTTTCAGATCAATTTTAGAATGGTTTTATGAACAATACAATATGGCGACTTACATCAAACAAACTTTATAGCGTGGATGCGTCTGGATTGAAAAACCATTCACTCGCGCTCACGGGGAGCCTTCTCTCTGAAGACCCCACCTGTAGTTCCACTCTACTCTCGTTAATAAGGCAGTCTTGGTGCCTGCTTCGATCATCCGAAAAATATGGTTTCAGATCAATTTTAGAATGGTTTTATGAGCAATACAATATGGCGACTTACATCAAACAAACTTTATAGCGTGGATGCGTCTGGATTGAAAAACCGTTCACTCGCGCTCACGGGGAGCCTTCTCTCTGAAGACCCCACCTGTAGTTCCACTCTACTCTCGTTAATAGAGAGTTTTAGTAGATCGTTCCTATAACGATACCCTATAACGATACGATAACCATACGATACCGATACACAGAACAGGAATGAGCGTTTAGTAGACCGTTTTGAAGACGATACATCCGATACGGTCACTTAAGGCGCTGGGGCACTCCCTAGTGGAAACGATTTGCAATTTCCAAAACGAAAAATAACGAAATAAAAGAAAGATGTTTCACTGAAGGAAAATTAACAGTTCTTACATTTAATAGAATTAAGAAAAACATCAATTAAGTTTTATAATTTGCAGAAATTAGAGAAATGCAGCAGCAAGCTACATCTAGCCAACTAAAGACATGCCAATTTAGCCATAGAAAGCACGGGTGGCACGGGCGTGAGCGAGTCGAGCGAGTGACCAACCTGAGCCGTGGCGACGTGTGTTTTCGAGGATCCCTTGGCCTTAGCTGTTTTGAGGTGGGACGAAATGGAAGAACTCTCCTTTCTGGATATGGAGTACCCCGTTCCGCGGAGGTTTAGGTCCGGGCGAGGCTACTTGGATGTGCTGAACATAGATAGTGAAGCTTTCCGCCATCAGTTTCGTTTTGAGCAGATGGACTTAATGGAGCTGTGTAGCGCGCTGCGAGTCCCTCATACAATTAGGACGGCCCAGAACGTCGCCATCCCCGGGCAGGAAGCTCTGTGTATTCTTCTGCGGAGACTCTCCTACCCCAACCGCCTCTGCGACCTGGAAGGCATGTTTGGCCGCCACTCTTCGACACTTTCGAGTGCGACGACCGTGGTGCTAAACCATTTGACGTCCACGTTCGGGCAGCTGACCGCGGATCTGTCAGCTCACACGTGGTTGAACCGTGCAAGCTTGGACGAGTTCTCCGAGGTAAGCATATTGTAAAGTTAAATTAAAAACACAAAAAAGAAAAAAAAATGCAAGTGCGTTGTTGATTTTGCTTTTGCAGGCGGTCCGCGCGAAGGGGGCACCTCTTCAGAATTGCTGGGGTTTCGTTGATGGAACGGCCCGCCCCATCTGCCGACCCACGGAGGACCAGCGGCTTTATTTCTCTGGCCACAAGCGTGTGCACGCCATCAAGTACCAGGGCGTCATGTGTGCCAACGGCATCATCGTGGAGATGAATGGCCCTTACCCGGGACACCGACACGACGCCGGTAAGTCAATAGCAAAAACTCGGAAATCGTAACCTACAGGTTCTTGGAAGAAGCGCTCATAAATAGAGGAACAGCCTCTATCACAGCCAAAATAAGTTGAAACGCCACAGGCAAGACCCGTGCTGCTATCAAGGCAGCCTGTGGAATTGTTCTGCAAACTGTGATGGGCGCCGTGGCCAACACAGAGTTCCTTCTACACTGGCGGCTCACCTCTATATTTCCGTGTCGTCTGCTATTGAGCAAATGGTTGCGACATTTCTTCCTTTCGCCAAACCTCAAAACCCACGCACGATGCAGAATAAATCTTTATTGCAGATCTTGTCGAAAGACTGTGCTTATGATAACACAATAATTGGTAAACGATTTAGTGCCCGAAACACATAGATCGCACCTACAGGAATGTGGTTCGACCTCAGGGTACACCACGTAAAGGGCGTTTTCGTGTTTCAAGGGACAGGGACCGCCAGCTTGCCAGAGCTGTATCGGTGAATAGACCTTTTTCAAAGCACGATGCTGCTGTCCACAGCACCGGGGAGGCGACAGCAAAGTAAGGCGAGCAACTGTGCTATACCTCTTGCTCTCTTCAGTGTCGGGGGGGGCAGGCAATGAGGGATTTTTGCAAAAAGCCTATTCCTTCCAATTGGAGTGGGAGCTTCAAGATGACCCGACCATCGAGGCATCCATTTGAACAGAACTGCTGTTTCATAGGCAGAGAACACAGAAGTTCAGGGTGGCACAACGAGCGCAGAAAGGGGTATGTCTTGGCCTCATCGTGCATCACAGTTTGCAGAACAGTGCGGCAGGCGGCTTGGAAAGTACTGCCTGCCTCACATCCTGGCTTTTCAGCTCATCTTGGCCGCAATAGTACAGAAGAAATACTATTTCATGCTTAAATGCTGAAAGTCAAGCTGGTGTTCTTCGGACAGGGAGTTAAACTCTTAAACTGGGGTGGAAAAATAATGTGACAGTACGAAGGGAGGCAAACACTTGTCCCATTGCTTTTTTGTTAAAGGGCGTTGTTGTATAAGCTTGGGACTGTGGAATAAAAGAAGACAAAGCTGAGAATGGATCAGGAATGGCAGTCCTTTACTCCTATCCTAACATGTCAGTTATGACTACTGCAGTAGACCTATTGCCACTGAATGCAGCACTTACCCTTGCGTGGTTACTTGTTTCATTAGGCTGCTTGCCAGAGTTGCGGATAGTTTTCCAGCGTGTTCGATCGTGCAGACGAGAGCCTGCATGCGAGCTGCCAGCTTGGCAGCTCACAAGATCATCGGGCATTCCAGTAAACCAATGTTTCGGTAACCATTAGCCCAGTTATTGAACACATGATGGCAGCAGTCACAGTCGCTGACGCAGTGCAAGACACTGGCCGAACAAGGGCAGCAAGCTAAAACGATGTCAAGCTGGTAACCTAAGACTGTGCCTAACTGCCGTGGTGGGAATGATTTGTCCGCAGAAGTAAAAGTTGAGGGCTTTATGTGCCAAAGTAACGACGGGCGACTGGCACGCACCAGTGGAGGATTAATTTATACCTCCTGGGTATCTCGATGTGCAACAAAAAGCTCGGTTACGACGGCACCTTCTCTGTAATAAGCCTCTATCAGAGTGCTAGCCGCCTCGGTGGCTCCGAGGCGAGAGCGCTGTCCTACGGATCCCCATGTCGCGGGTTCGAATCCCGGCCGAGGTGCCCGCAATCTGACGGAGGCTTATTGCAGAGGAGGCGCCGTGTAACCGAGCTTTCGGTTGCACGTCAAAAGATCCCCAGGTGGTCCAAATAAATCCTTAGTCCTCCGCTGGGGCGTGCCAGATACCCGTCGTTGGTTTGGCACGTAAAACCCCCAAATTTGACTGTTCCATCAGAGTGCTGGCACCTCGGCGGGGATTCGAACCCGCCACCTGAGGATCCGTAGGCCGACGCTTTGCCTCGACCGAGGCGGCTGATGCGTCCACAGCTCTGATGTAAATCCCTTCGCGTTTGAAATGCCAACAAATTTGTATGTTTTCAAACTGGAACATTAAACAAGGTGGCTGTGGCAGTGGCAACAGTACCCTCTGACCTCTAAATTGGCAAAGCCAAACAAGGTCACACAAATCAATGTTTTGCTCTATGCAGTGAGGAAAGGGCGTGTAGATCTTTGTGGCTTATCGACGTGCAGGTGGTGATTGTCACTATATGCTACTCAGTGTTTTATCGTTGTGTCTCGTCTGACTCCTTTTTCAGGTATCCTGCGGCTGAGCGGCCTTTATGAAAGGCTTGAGGACCTCGTGCAGGGCAGCGTATGCACGATCTACGGTGACCCTGCCTATCCTTTGCGGCCTTTGTTGCAGAAACCATTCATGGGTGCTAGCTTGACTGCCGCAGAGCAGAACTTTAACAAAAAAATGAGCAGCGTGAGGCAAGCAGTAGAATGGGGCTTTGGGAAAGTGTCAACTCTCTTCGCTTTTGTAGATTTAAAAAAAAATCAGAAGCACAGGCTGCAGCGCGTGAGCGATATGTATCAGGCTGCAGCACTGTTAACAAACTGCCACACGTGCCTGTATGGCAGCCAAACCTCCACGTACTTTCAGCTGTCTCCGCCGACGCTGGATGAATATCTTTCACCTCGTTATTGACTTCGTATAATTTGAATTCTTTTTGTGCAATCTTTTTTTTGTCCGAGTGCCTATAGTCTGTTGCATGTTGCAACACGAGAGGGTAGGGCGAGGGAAAGGGAGGCCAGGGAGGAGGAAGTAGACGGAACCCTGGAGAGGAGTGGGGGAAACCTCCTCCTCTAGCGTTTCATCTGCTTCCTCCTCCTTTGTCTTTCTTTTTCTCGCCCTACCTTCTTAGTTGCAACAGACCATAGCATTTTTTATGACTATTTATTCCACGGGATGACTTTTGTGCAATTGTCTGGTTGCTTACCTGCTGCATTTCTTTTATCTGCCTCTTGTGTTCTTTTCAAAGCAGCAACCGTGTTCCTATATTGTTTTAGTTTTGTGAACGATACAGGTTTATATGTTAAGTATATGCTATTTCTGTTATTCGTCAAGCGCCTTCAGCTTGACATAAATTTTATCAGCGTGGTGATTTTCAAGTGTCTTATGTTATTGCTTTGCCAGTCATTGCCAACATAGCATTTGCTGTCTGTTCAATATTACACTCAAAATATTTCTTTGTATAGTAAATCGAACGGGCCTACCCCTGCCGTTTTTTTTTCAACTACATTGTTTAATGAAATGAAAGATTTATTGCATTATGTATTATGATGTCATACCACTTGTTCACACTTAACTTTACTTGTTAATTTGACCATTCACTACTTTAAGGTAATGTTCTTGCAGTTGGAGACGAAGCCTCCTCTCCTCTGCTCCAGCCTCCTGTAGCACATAAAATTTTTCTCTTTCAAACGCTAAGCGATTTTCGCTTAAGGTCACCTGGCGCTCTTCAATGGCCAGGCGCCTCTCCATCTGGCGCTCCTCCATGGCGAGACGCCTTTCCTCAAGAGCGATCTCTAGTTTTTTTATGCTGCGGTCCTCTTCTGCTCTCTTCTCCAGCGATGCAAGGTGCTCCCTGTACCGCTTCTGCCTGGTTGCTGGAAAAATACAACAAAGGAAACAATGCACACAGCATCAAATAAACAACTTTTTAAAAATTTTTCTTAGTGTGTAGGTTGACAATTGATTGAATGTTTATTTTATTGGACCTGGCAATTCAATGAAGGTACTGCACAAAAAATACTGGGTAATTCATGTGTGTTCAAACAGTGACTGAGATATGTCTGTCTGGTAAGCAAAAAATAACAAATGTAAATCACAGCCCAAGACTTCTAGAGCAGATTTGGAGAATTTCTACAAATGGGGTTATGTGTATCCTCTTTCAAAAGTTTAACGTATGCTTGAAGCATCTACTGAAAGATGGCAGTGCTTACCCTGTCCGCCCCAAGTCCTAGGTCGTGCGACAGAAGTAACCGGCACACGAGCCTGGACTGGTGGCAAGGGGGGTTGGACCAACGGCACAGGGGTCGGAACCGGCGGCACAGGGGCTGGGGCCAGCTCCACAACTTGGTCTGTGTTGCCTGGTTGCCAGGCGTCGGCGTCCTCCACGCCGTTCATTATGTCAGCAAAGATAGACTGGCAGTTCTCAGAACCTGTAAATAGAGTATTCCATAAATATTTGTGGTGTATCATGACACACGCTGTGGAGCTGGGCATTGAAAATGTATGAAAAATACAACGCAGGTATGATGGAGTCAGATCTTCAAAAGACCATTCCAAAATATGTAGTGCCTCTTATCGTTTCCTCGACACATCACGACACTCCGATGTGCGGCGCGTGAGGGAAAATGTTCCATGAATAGAAGAAGCTGTTCATGCCGGCTTAGCATTATGCATTTTCTGAATGCCTGAAACATTAATGTATGTTTAGAACATACATTAATGTATGTTTAGAACATACCTAATCAGAACTCGGCAGTTTACTCAAAGCTGTGCTCTGGGAACTACAGATGTACCCAAGTAAATTACACTTTTACTTGAGAGCAGCAGACCATGTAAGTCGTCCTCAGTAGGCTATTCGATGGGAACTCGCGAGTAGCCTAATATCAGTCGTAGACAAACGCGATTGATGGAGCGGTCATGACGACCTGACTTTCCTAACCAGGTGGGGTTCATGACGCACGTGTCATACTTACTAGACTGCCCTGCCACTGCATTATGATTGACCGGTCTGTACTCGGCTGCAGCCGCAACAACTCGCGCTGTAGTGGCAGCATCGCGAGCAGCCCGATTTGTCGCCGGCCTGGTTGTGGTGGCTGTGGCACGTTCCCGCGGTTCCAGCGCAGCGGTGGAGGTGGTGGTGGCACCTTGCTCGGTGGCTGTCGCCTTCCTGAGCACTGGCTTAACCTTGTAACAAAATTCACAGGCCAGGTCAGCAACATCCTGCAGCAGCTGCTCTTTTTCGGTGTACTGCTCTTCCGTTCCGGATCTAAGGGTTTCAGCGGGAGAGCGGTATCAACAAGTGCGCCTGTCTTCCTCAAGCGTAGATCTGTTATTTCAGTCAACGAACATGAGTACATCTCCGTGTCGGGAAAGCTGCAACGCGAACTCGGTAGTTTGAAAACGCGCTTTCCTACGCGAAATGTCTAGCGGCACAGGCATGTGCGTTTCCAAACAACAAGCTCGCGCTAGCTCGCAGTTGCGC